TATGGAATCATTCTTACAAATATGTTCGATGTTTTAGAAAAACTAAACCAGTCTATTGGTCTTTGTAAGCGAATGACCCGTGATCGTGTGTTAATCAATAGATTGGGTTTATCAAAAAGATAGGTCTCTATGAATGAATTATTGAAAAAAAAGATAGCATACTTTTGAAGGAAGATTATTTGTCACATATTGATCAATCGGTTAGTTTTGTGGCACGAAAACATCAACAGGTGTGTAATTAGAGGGCAAACGAAAAAGACAAATGTAGATTAAGATAAAGTAAGACAATGAAATAACCGAAATTGGGGCAAACCTTAATGCATATTAATATATAAGGATTTGTGTTGTTATTGATGCGCTCCACGACTTAAGCTATTCGATTAGGTGAAGTGGTTGCCACTATTCGAAACAATTACGCTGTTACACCAACATGTGTTTTGTTATCTCTACCGAACAGAACACAGTAGCAGAGTAGTATCAAATGATAAGGAGAATTTAAGGTGTTTTTTTCGTCGCTACTGGCTAGAGTTTCTCGTGCGTTAGATATGGCATATAAATATGAATGAATAGAACAAAAATATGAAGGAAATGAAATAAAGCGATTATTTGGTATTTGTCACTAATTTTCTAGTTTATGCTACAATTGTTTGATTTTTTTCTCTTGACGCAAAATACGACAGATGGCAAAACTGCTCAGTAACTGAAATATAAATCTTGAGATAAATGATCAAATTATTGAACAACGCTAAAATATTGAAGATACAATAGTGTTGCAGCCGTTAAACTCAGAACACATTGAATTTCCAAAATTTTCAATGGTATTATACTTTCACATTCAACTATTAACTCTATTCACTATATTATCATGTTTTTAGACATCAAGCAATGATACTATCCAAGAAACATCAACACAGAGAAGAGAAAGTTGCATCTAAGAAAAAAGAAAATTTTGATATTCCGGAAAATAATATTTTTTTATCATACTCATGCATTCCGATTTTTGTGGACTTTTTTCAAAAGCAAATATGTATATATGTGTTTTGTTGAAATTAAAATTTATGTTTTTTTTTCAGATCATACATTGTTTTCAAACAATAATGTCAATCGCATAAAGAGAAAGAAAATATTTTCATTTAGTTTCGATTTATTACCAAAACTTTGTTGGTTTATGAAAAGAATCGGTGTACGAATCAACACTTGAAATACAATGAAGACGAGTAAACGAACGTTTTCGAAGATGAGTTCGAGTGTGGCACGAAGAGAGGAGGAGGGTGTGCCTAAGAGGTCAAATCGGTCCACTAGTATTTTTCTTGATCAACTTCATTGAATCATATGTCAATGAAAAGTATATATTAAGATCAACATTTTGATAATAGTTTTATGAGGTTTTGGTCGAATTTTGAAACCTAAAAGCTATCGACAAAGAAATGTATATTAGGTCATTATTCTAACAATTCATCCTATGATGGTAGATTCAATTTGACAATAGGCTCAGGCTCAACGAAAACCCTATTTAGATTTTCTAGATATTTGGCATTTCATAACTTTAAACAACTTTTGAGGAATCTTTATAATGTTCAGATGATGGTTTGGTACAATTTTGAAGGTGTGAACAAAAACAAAACATACATACGCACACCCTTTCATCAATGTAATCATTGTCACTTTAATAAAAATCATATAATAACCAAACAACTGAACAAAAATTTTCTTCATCAAATATCGAAATCTTGTTTAGTTTTATTATTTCTTATTTTTTAAGTACCGATTTTGATTTCCTTAAATTCCACGAATATTATCAATCAAATGACATGTTGTTTACTACCAATTTGTTAAGGAATATTTCAAATGATCAATCAAAATATTTTACTAGCCAATTATATAAAACAAGGATACATAAATGTTCGTATTAAATTCACAAGTCACATTGAAATTTTTTTTTCTCATTCAAAAATTAGGAAAAATGTTGCTTTCAACTGAATCTGATATATCCCCCTGGACAAAAATAGTTTTACACAGTATTTCCCACAAATCATTACTATAAATTAACATTTTGGGAAAAGTAAGGATATATTCGGATAGCCCGTGGAGTTCTCTACAATTCTATATATAAACATTTTGAATTGCATTTATTCGCTAAAAATGAGTTCAAGCACAGTGAAGGCACCCTCATCTCCAGATTCCCTGGAAATGCATTTTTTGTTCCTTGTTCGTTCATTTTTTCAAATATATTTTGAATATAGGAACAAGTTGTGACAAAAGTAAGTATATATTCTGAAAGCGCGTGAAATTCTGTATCACCCTGTACTTTTACCAATCTTAACTTGCAAATATTTGATGACAAATATTTCAACTATTGTTAATGTACTCACGCATCACGTACCTAGGTTAGATGTTGTCAGGAATTCAGTCGTCATCTCTGTGCAAAGTGGTTTATTCAAGACCAGACACTCTCAACAGCATTAAGATCCAATTTGATAGGTTGTTAATTATCCATACCTCTTACTTGGTTAGCAGATAATCGTTCATGCGGAGTATCGAGGATGAGGGTACATTAATAATACTCCAAATATTTGTCATTAGACAATTGCAAGTCAAGACGGGTACAGTATAGGGTGATACAGAATTTCACGCGCTTTCAGAATATATACTTACTTTTGTAATAACTTGTTGTATATTTAAAGGAACATAAAATGCATTTCCGGGAAATCTGAACATGAGGGTGCCTTTATTGTACGTGAATTTATTTTTTACTGATAAGTGCAATCCGAAATGTTTATATATAGATTTGTAGAGAATTCTTCGGGCTATCCGAATACATCCTTACTTTTCCCAAAATGTTAATTTATAGTAATGATTTGTGGGAAATACTGTGTAAAACTATTTTTGTCCAGGAGGATAGTTCAACTAACTGAACACTAACAAATATATGATAAACCCTCATATATTAGAAGATCCGCTTGCGGAGGACGAATGTAAAATTCATAATAAAAGACTCAGATCTTTTGAAAAAAATCCCTTGTCTAAATCATTTTTTTACTTTTTCTTGTCGTTGAATTATTCATGTTTATTGAAGAATAAAAGTTACAAAAACATAGAAGACAAAGTAATAGCTTTTGCTTGATGTCGTTTATATCAACATTCAATTTCATTTTTAATTAAAACAATACTCTTTCTAATTAAGAGAAAGCTTTTAATTTATTAAGCATCGAGTTATGAGGAAGAAAAATAACAAGAAATAACTGTACATTGACTCTTTTATCTGAGAATAGCCAATAAATAGATAATACCTTCATCCTTCAATTGTTCATGTACACACAGGGTACCGAGTCTGGGTCCACAAAAACATGGACCCGTATCTCCATGTTACATATGTGTAACGGAAATTTTTTTTTTCGGGAGAAGAAAAAAACCTATTTTCAACTAGAGTGAAAATGAGAGAACTGTTAATGATGCAAGAAGGAGAGAACGATTGATATCAAACTTTATTTGTATCAATAGTAATATGCATTTAGCGAATACATAAAATTTAAAGGGACAATATTGTGCACTCCTTTGTGATGATGAAAATTCGAATATTCTATATCATCAATTGGAATTCGAAGACGATCATGAAAGAACAAAGATATAATCAAAAGAAAACAGTAGTCGAAAGAAAAAAGAAATCATATTTGTTAAACGTCATCAACAACAACTAAACGAAACAGCTCAGTTTAGATCGGTTTATCCAAAAGTGAAATTTAATTGCAGTTCATTTTGTTTTTTTTGGTATTTGAAATATAATCATAATGAACTAATTAAAATGTAATAACGATATTTGGCTCTTTGTGGATAGAAATTCATATTACAAGACGAGAAATCTTTTATTGTGTGTAGAGAGCGAGGAATTTAGACAATATATTAATTGTGTAATTCAAGCACCTTGAATAACACGTGCAATTCAAAATGTTTTTCCAGCTGAATTCAAATTTACTAATATTACTGGCCTGCAAGTTATGAATAAAGTAAGCAAAAACAGTTGGCTCGATGTAATAGACAATCATATAGTGCACATGACGACTTTTTGTCAAGTGAAAATGCCGATGACTATTTAAATGAACATCAAATGCAGATCGCGAATTTCCAAATGGAGAGTGAATATGGATCTGGGTGTGCTTGATCTCTTCATACACACCCACATTTCAGAAATATTGGGATAACAATATCAGATCAGTTCAAATCTAAAACCAAATATAATCGTTCGATTCAACATGATGAATTACCCCTACTTAGGTACTTCTCCGGATGATTAGAGGTCAATTGACTGGAATCAGGAGTTTCAGAAAAAGTCTTATAACTCTTGAATTGAACAAGCTAGGAATGTTAGTCTTGTGTAGATCGAAAGAGAAGGATTTTTTCTATCGATTAGTACTATAAAAATTGTAAATCGAAACGGAAATAGATCGAAAATATTGTTTTCAAAGATCTCCACCAAGAACTCATCTGGTTAGTCGATCGCTGACTAATCGAATTTCGATATACTCCGATGGTTCGTTCTGAGTCTTCTTTCCTGAATGGTGAAACCCGCAGGTCTCTATCATGTTTCTGTCAAAAGTTATTCAAAAAAAAACTGGAGGACATTATGTTTTGAAATGGATAGTAATAGATTTGTTGTATTTCTATCAAGAATTTTCAAATATACAAAATACAAAGAGAAGCATATCATTATTTGCATTTTCGTCGAATTTCTAACTGTATAGATTTAAAAGTTTTTGAAACCGTTACTAACTCAACTTGTCAGAATATTTTTATAGCTACTTTGAATTGCTTATTTTCGAAACACTAAAGGGACATCTATCGTTCATTGATCTATTGGTATCTTTTTTCTTTTTTTTCATGTGGAATGAATCATTTCTGCAATGTTCTGTTTGTTCTATCTGTCATATATATGCGTTGTAGCTTATTCTTCTTCTAATTATCATAAATTTCCCTCAAAATATTTTTTTTCAAATTTCTTAATTATGTCTTGGTTATTAAAACAAGCTGAAGATATTTTAAATCGAGTTGATCAACAAACAAATGCAGCTTTGCATCAACATACTTCAGAATTACCAAAAAAACAAAATCAAATTGAATTTATTTCTGATACACCTTCATTTACTCCAACAAAATCATTAGATCAACCGATTATATCTACAAATCGACCCACAATAATAATACCAACACGTCGTACTAAAAAAACTGATGAAACTGATCTTATTAATTATCTTAATAGTTCAACACCAATCAATAATAATGAAATAAAACAATTAATACCTGTTCAATCTTCTTCTAATAATAAAACACGTACAAATAGTTGTTCATCTAGTAATCTTAATGATAATTCATCACTAGTAATTTCAACAAATGAATCTTATATTAATAATTCTAATAAACAATTGATTGATACACTTCAAAATGAAATTCAAACATTAAAACATGATAAAAATCAATATGAAAATGAATTACATACTTATAAACGTCAATTAATTCAATATCAACATCAAATAGCTGAATCTGATGCATTATTACGTGATTTACATTCACGTGAATCTGATTCTAATGAAATTTTATCAACAAAAGATTCTCAAGTAGCATTACTTCGTATACGTTTAACTGAATCTGATGAATTATTACAAAAAAAAAATTTTACAATATGATGAATTACATAATGAATATACACATTTAATACAAGATTCATCACATATTCAATCAGCATCATTTGATGCATTACAATTACGTAAAATACAATTAGAACAAGAATTAGAACGAAATTTAAATGAAAATGAACGTTTAAATAATGAAAATGAACAATTAATTGAACAATTAAAATTAATTGAAAAACGTTTAAATGATGAACATTTACAATTTTATGAACAACAACAACAAACAAAACATGCAAAAAATTTAATTAATCAATTAGAATATGAAATGAATGAATATAAATCTAAAGCACAAAGAATTTTACAAACAAAAGATAAATTAATTATTAAACTTAAAGATATTATACAACATCAAAATAGTACATCAAATATTGGAGATCAACATGGTTAGTTAGATAAAAGATTCTTACTAATCTCTAACACAAGAAAAAAACAAAGGAATTATCCTAAACATTTTTAAATTTCATATTCTGGAGCCAAAAAAATTTTTTTTTTAAGTACAAGACTTTTTGATTAGAACCTTAAATATTATTCCTTTTGATTTTTGAATAGTAGCAAGGAAATTGATTTTCAACATTCACTATTTGCACTGTTTTAATTATCTTAGAAATATGATCTCTGTCGGCAGATTATATTTCACGTTCCAACTCATTCTTTCCACATATTGTTAATCTATTTTAATTTATCATAGCTACAAAAAAAAAAACGTTATCTATCGCTCGACTCTTGTTTCTCTACTGATTAGCTCAGTTATCATTAATCTTTGTATATGTCATGCCTAAGTTCTACGGTTTGTCGAAGTTGTAACTTACATACAACACATATTGTCGATCAACTGCGTTCGAAAAGGATTGTTGTTTTCATTGAGTAGCAAAGCACTTGCGTCGTTCGTTTGTATCGCATCTATGGAATACATATGATACATTGGTCCCTAACATAGATATAGAGGGTATGGTAAATTCCTATTTCTGCAGATCATTATTCGATGAATAATACAAGCTAAAAAACACTGCTGCAAGAGTCACATAGATCTCGATGTGGGAGGGAAACCATCCAACTTTTATCAGTCACTTTTTGCTAGACGACCTATCTGTCCAGTTCTTTGTCCCTACCACCTCTAAAAAGTTTAGGAAACCCAAAAAGTTTAGATTAAATGTTGATGATATGCAACGAGAATTCATGTTTACATAATTCAATTGAAAAGATACAAATCGAAGTTTGGTGTTAGCTAAGCTTGGGAAATTTATTTTCTAATGAAAAGTATATAAGGTGAGTGGATGAAGACAAGAGCCTTATCAATGTTATCCATTTTTTCCACTTGTATAATTCTGAGCTACCTAACGTTTTATTTTAAACGTACTTTAGAAGTCAAAAAGAATTATCACACAACTACTTAATTGCGCTAGGCATCGATGGTAATATTCAAGTTACTCAATGAAGCACTTGCGAATAGTTTCTGGTGATAAAAAAATTTTAAAGCCCTGAATTAAGTTTCTATGAAAATTTTCATCATAATCATTTCATGTAGATATAAGTTCAAATCGTTTACGAAATTTTTTTATACTAAAGAGACATCTTTTTAATAATATAAACTCTGAACTTTGTTAAATAGTTTGTAATATTCTCTCATTTTTGGAAAATAACTTTCGGCAATATCGAATAAAACTTTTTTTTATGAAGAACAATGTTTTACTTTATACTATCTATACTGCAGTGATGACTTTTGATAACGTACAATTTGAATAAATAAAATATATCTTCTAAAGTTTTTAACACATTAGAAAAAATGAAAATAAATCTTTTTTTGTATTAGGAAAGTGAGATCAACACTAATATGTATATTTATATTAAAATCTACAGCGAGAAGGTGCGATGTTCTTTTTCGTACCAATCGCTTTTGAAGAGGAGATGTAATTACAAACCATCATAGACAAGATTAATCTGCTTTCTAATGTGTATGATGAGGATCGAAAGCCGAAATATTAGTAGGATTTCATAAAAGTCAATTTGTTTTTGTTTTTTAATTAACTCATCTTCAATTTCCAAAATTACCTATGAAGTACTTCAGACACTATGAAGAAGACCTATACTGGAAGTTATTGTTTTTCGATTGTAAAAACATAAACAATGAAATGTCATGAACTTTATCTCATGCTACTATCTATGACTGCACTCATAGTCGGCGAAGCCACGAGGCTTGAGTAGACCAAAGCATACCCTAGATTTACGCTACACTACGCTCAAATACTTTTCTCCTTCCATTAGATTGATTATCTTAAACAACAGATTTCGGAAACATTGACTTTTGTATAAGTGAATATTGCACCATATATTCGCAATGATTTGAAGTGAGCATTCTTCATGACAATTGAAGAAGAACTGTACAAAAAAATCTGAACTAGATTAATTAGAATCTGCTGAAATTTCTCTTCACCTTCAACGACTAAGATTACAAGCTTATTAAATATTTCTGCTTCGCCCTTAAACTTTTCTCCCGTAAAACAGATCAGAATTTCTTCTTTCGCAGATCGCATTTTTCTTAACTAATGATTTCTATGTTTTTTTTTTGGTAACTTTTGTTCTATGTTTCTAGAAATTGAAACTATTGGTACGAATGATGATTCTACTCTTGTCGATAGAAGTCTCGTAGGAAATTCATCTGTATCATCACCAATATCTACTAATTGGGCATCTATACAATATGAAGAATTAAAAAATGAAAATGAATTATTTAAACAAGAATTACAAGCACGTGAATTAACAATACATACATTACGTAATGAACTTCAAGAATCTGAATTATTAATTCAACATTCTGATGAACAATATCAAGAACAAATCAATCAATTAAATGAACAATTAAAAGATGACCGTTCACGTTTAATATTAGCTGAACAAGATTATCGTAAATTAAAACAAGAATCAACATCAATGAAGGATGATTTTCATAAACAAAAACAAATTTATCAAGGACAATTAAATGAACGTGAACGTGAAATTGAACGTCTTCGTTTACAATTAACATCTATAACAATAAATCATGTTAATGATGATGAATTAGAAAAACGTTTACAAACATTAACAGAATCATTAATACATAAACAAACTATAATTGAAACATTACAAACAGATAAAAGTTCATTAACAATGCAATTAGAACGTTTAGAAAAACGTTTAGATGATTATGAAACAATAACAACAAAAAATTCTTTACAACAATCAACAAAAACAATTCCAACAACATCAATATCAATTGATGATAATGAACATTATGAAAATCTTCGTTATCGTATGCCATTATTACATGAAACACCATATGATGTTGATTTAACAAAAAAAGTTAAACGAGCAGCTAATGAACTTGATAAACTAGGAATTCGTTTCACAATATTTTTAAGACGTTATCCAATTGTTCGTCTTGGTGTACTTTTTTATATTTTACTTCTTCATTTATGGACATTTATTGTACTTTTTACATATACACCAGAAATTCATAGCAATACAAATTCAATTAATTTAAAAGATAAACTATAAAACAGTGATAGATTATCGTATTTATTCTTATTTTTGTTTTTTTTTGTTGTACTTGGAAATTTATTTCGTTTTTTTTTCCGGGCAAGGGAAATGAGATTATTAAATCTATATTAATAGCAACAAAATATATTGTAAAGAATTATCGAGATATTTTTTGTTAATTCATAAAAATTCAAAATTTTGGAACATCCATTTCAGATATGGAATTGAAGGAAGTATTGTTTGGAATTATTCATATATAAAAAAATAATCTGTAATGCTTTTAGCTTATTGCTGTGATCCCTTCAGGAATACGAGATCTTTTGATTTACTTCTATTCACAAATAAGAATATTAAATCTCCTGGTTTATAGGAGCGATGTAAAAGTTATACTATTATCTATCGTAGCTGTATCTTAGGATAAAAACAGCGAGAAGGTCTAAAACATTCACAAAAATCTATTCTCGTCAAAACCTATCTCTATGAAAAGTCTCAAGTCGCTATTCGAAAATCAGTTTTTCTGGATTATGGTATTTTCATTTAAAAAATACTGTAAAAGCGCAGTATCTTCACAACAATAAGCTAAGCGTTTGAACTCATGTCAGGGTATTCATAATTTATTTGGATCTACATAATGTACATAGTCTCGACTCAAAAGCGATTTATCATTTGAAAGAGTTCCTCCGTGAGAACGGGAAGATAACCATTGGTTTATAATTAATTATGTCTTAAATGCTTATATTAGCACATATTCGGGGTAAAGAACCGAACTTGTTACGAATTATATTTATGATCTAATTTTCTACTGTTGTTCGCTAGTGGCGTAACCAGAATTTCGACAGGGAAGGAAGTTGTGACAGAGTTTAGCCTGCCAACCTCTCCCGTTGATTACACCACTACTATCTGCTCCTACGAATTCATAATTTCCCCATACATAAAAAAATAAACGAACGATCGTGTTAATGGTATACAAATGTGAATTGAACCTTTTCGCTTTCTGTTTTATCATAATTTTATTACAATAACAATAACTATTTTTTCCTTCTTCAAATTGAAACTTTCGTAATATTTTATGTCACAGTCTAATGAGAAGTTTTGTTCGATGTTGAATTCAAGATCGAATATGTCCAAACTGAAATCATGTAAAATTTTCAAGTGAAAATTCAACTTTAATCTCGAGTTAACACAGGATTTTTTTATTGATACGTTAAGATCAAGCGATAGCTCTATCTTCATTTACACAATGATCAATTTGTTTATGAAAATTGGATTAAACCAGTTATATGCAGTTTTACTATTGTAGAATCTGCCGTAGAACAATTTCAATTTAATTTTGGATGGATTAACCTATTATACAGGGTGGCCCAAAAGTAAGGAAATATAGAGACTGTTCCATAATAACTGATGATAAATTGTTAATGATATTTTTCATACTTTTTATTAATGTAGAGAGCTGAAATTTTTATCACATATATATCTAATTAAGACCTTATATTTCTGAAAGTTTCAGCTCTCTACATTAATAAAAAGTATGAAAAATATCGTTAACAATTTATCATCAGTTATTATGGAACAGTCTCTATGTTTCCTTACTTTTGGGCCACCCTGTATATAAAAGAAACTTCATCATTCATTAAAAAAAGAGGATCAGTTTCACATAGATGACTTGTTCTTTTTTCATGAAATCATCATTTCGAAATATGATTAGTGGTTAATGTTCATGTATTTTGATTCTGCAAGTTAATGAGGAAATGACAATTTTAGTAATGTTTATTCAACTGTTCAAATAAATTTATATTTCATATTTGTACATCATTCTTTCGAATGATTTTAATTTCAATTCTGTGTTTATTATAAATAAATAGGAATTCATTGAGGTCGACTTCTGAGTTCAAGCAATATTTGAAGAAAGGAAATATACCTGAATACATTTTTATACATACACGAAAAATATCGTTTAACTTACAATTAAGTCATTTTATGTTTATGTTTTGACTGAGAGGTATTGAACTAAAAATACAAAACATTTCGATAGTGTAAAATATTTTATTGAAATGTAATTTTAATTGGATTCTAATAATCATTCATCATGAGTGAACTTTTCAAGTTAGTCTGATTCTCTTTCAAATTATTACTTTTTTATTTCATATTTTATCTTTATTCGAATAAGTACTAATTTTTCAATTATAGTATATTCAGATCTTTGTCCAATGCTGGTAATCATATCAACTAGTAGATTTATTTCTTCTTAGAATCTTTTGAGAACAAAATTTAATACCACGTAAATCATATAGATTAAAAGTTTATTCAAGTCAATCTTTCTTGAAAACAATAACTCTTTCTTGTGATATAAATATTTAAAAAAGCGACAATTGTTGCAGTTATGATTGTTCTTGATTTCGTCTTCGTATTTTTTCTTTTAGAATATAATAATCATATCGAATGAGTCGATAAAGCATTTCAACTAACTCCATTATTGATAAAAAACTAATACCAATCCATAAACCAGTATGACCACCAACATTTGAAAGAAGATCAACACCACTAATTGATGCATCTTGTGTATAAGTTTCTACACGAGTTGTTTCACAAACAATATCGACAGCAAGATAATTCTTTGGAATTTCTGATTGCCATGTATTTGACCAATTTTTAGGTAATATAATGCCAGATTTTTCAACGAATTTTTTAATAACAGGTACATACGTAGTGGATGGAGCTGATACTGCAGATGTTGTAATAGTAAAATCCACAGTTGAACATGCTTGTGAACAATCTGAACAAAATTGATTCCAAATTGAATCTGTTGTTGTAATACGAGCTGTTGCAGTCATATAACATTGATCGGTTACGTTGCAAAGAGATGCTTCACGAATTTGATCTGTACCCGATAAAACAATAGATTGAGCGATCCACTCAAATGGGCTTACACATTTACATTCGTCATATCTATTTTAATAAAATATATATTTCTCTTTGGACTAATCACTAATTATACTTACACATATGTTTGTATGCATAGCGTATAACATAAAACTTGAGAATAAGCATAATCAGCACCTGCATATCGATTAAACATTGCTTGTATAACAAGAGGAATTTTATTTGTACAATCAGAATATGGAGATGGTAATAATTGATATATTTTCTTTTTGTAGCTTAATTTATATTCTCGTCCAGGTTCAAGTTGAATACCAGCTACTTCAATAAGTGGTAATTCTGTGTTATCATGAATCATAGCCATCATACCAACTGACACATCTGTAAAAGAAATAACAAAAAAAAGCTTGTTAACGCAGCTCCTTCAGAGCTAAAATGTGGAACTCACGTATATCCTTCAACCTTGCTATCCTAATACATCATCTGCAAACTGAAAAATTTCTCGTCGACTGTAGTTCTTGTCACTAATAATCGATGACAAGAGCGAGAATTTATTATTTCTACATTTATTTCTAAATTTAAAACAGAAATTTTTTATTTTTTCTACGGGCGTTCTATTTTTTGTTTGGATTGTTGCTATTCGCTCATTATTTTTCACTTTTTTTTTAATTCGTGTTTTTTTAATTGCATATTCTTATTATTATAATCGTTGAATCAGCAATTAAGTTTATTTTACATATCCATGATATGTATGGTAGATTTTACGTACTATTATACAGTGGTGGCTAAAATTATAGGAACAGACCGTTTTTTGGTGTTTTTTTAGGTTTTTCATATATTTTTCTTCGAGCGATGACGACTTGTATGCCTAAACAAATGTATTTCAGTGTGATCTTTCCGATGGTGTAGTCAGATTCGGTCGTTTCCGACTTCAAGTTTCAGAAAATAAATATTTATTGAAAATCACGTTTTTAAAAATCAATGGGAAAAAACGTTGGTCACGCTCAGTGTTTTGCCTCCTACAATAAAAAATATAGATGAGTGCACTTTTTACAGACCTACATCAGATAGAGGACAATTTTTGCTACAAAATAAAGTATTCCCCAGTTCTGACAAACATTTTATTGAAAAAGTGATAACATTTTAAAAGCAAAGAGCATTTTTTATGTCAAGTTTGGCTTAAAAATCGCGATTTTTTTTTCTTTTAAACGTAAAAACATTATCACTTTTTCAACAAAATGTTCGTCAGAACTGAGGAATACTTTATTTTATAGCAAAAATTGTCCTCTATCTGATGTAGGTCTGTAAAAAGTGTGCTCATCTATACTTTTGTTGTAGGAGACAAAACACTGAACCTGACCAACGTTTTTTCCCATTGATTTTAAAAAACGTGATTTTCAATAAATTTCCATTTTCCGAAACTTGAAGTCGGAAACGACCAAATCTGACTACACCATCGGAAAGCTCACACTGAAATGCATATGTTTAAGCATACAAGTCGTCATCGCTCGAAAAAAAAAATATATGAAAAAACTGAAAAAACACCAAAAAACAGTCTGTTCTTATAATTTTGGCCACCACTGTATATATTAATCAACTCACAAACAATGATGTTCACTAATCTTCAAAATTATAACTTTACCAAATTTTCAAAAAAAACTCTAGAAAATCTGACATCTGTTATTCTCCATTGATAAAGTCTGTAATGGTGGATTATCTGTCATGGAAGGGGGGTATCTGTAATGGGGGGGCCTCATTGCTATGGTCTGTAAGGAGAGAGGGGAGGTGGGGAACCGCCAAACCTCGAACTTAAAACTTACATGCACTATTTTCTTCGAAAATATACGTGAGTTCCACAAAAATAGATTTCGTAAAATTATATTTTTCATTTTACCTTTTACAACATATGGAATATATTGATGACTGTGTGCATACAGTTGTAACTCAAGTTTACCAGGACCTCCATTATCAGTAGTATTTCGTACACTACTTTGATTTAACTTCATTTTAGCATTGAATGTATAGCAACGACCAAAAGACGATGAATAAAATGGAATAAAATCATTAGTTTGACAACGTTGACCATTGTATAAGCAAGAGATTAACATTGAACTTATAGGAAAAAAATAACTATCAACGGGCTCACCATGCCTTAATAAATTTTGAATAAAATCACGAATGTATCTGCTTTGTTCTTCAGAAATAGTGCTTGTGTCATTTGTATAAGTCAAATTTCGAGATTTGGTAAAATTTAGAAATGGTTCAATAAAATTATCAAAACGCATCGGTGAATAATTACAAATACTGACTGCTGGAAATGCTTGTGAACGTTCGACAATAAATGATACTGATGTTTGTGTTGGATAATTGAAATAAGCTTTCATTGATTCAACAATAAAAAAGAGCATAATACCAGTAAAAATGAGTGTTGAAACTATCCAAAAAATTCGATTATGTATATTTTGACTACGTGCAATACCTGGAATACCATGAGTTGAAGTATTAAGACTAAACTCACGAATAATAGAACGACGTCGTCGAAATTTCGGATCTGGCTCCAACGCTTTAGCATCTATTGGAAAAACAGTAGCTATATGTTTAATAGTTGAATCTGTCATTGTTTGAATGATAATGTAGTTTATTGTCGCTATTTGACTCTTTCTATATAGAACGATTGTTGTTTTAAGAATAATAAAAATATGTGCATATATGATTCAAATGAAACAAAATATTTACTCCCGTCTTGTTAGTTTTGAATAAATCAAACTTCTCCATACAGTATATTATTAAAAATCCATTACTCTTATATAAATCGAAAAACATCATATAATATATTTTTCTTGATTGATATGCGTCTAATGGATCGAATGTTTATACTTGTTTTTTCAGGATGTTATCAGGAACTATACATATATTAACTTGTCCTTTTCTCATGAGATCATCATATGAAAGAATGATTAATGCCTAACGTTCATGTATTTTAATTCTGCAGATTAATGACAATTTTAGTAATGTTTATTCAACTGTTCAAATAAATTTATATCTCATATTTGTACATCATTCTTTCGAATGATTTTAATTTCAATTCTGTGTTCAGTATAAATAAATAGAAATCCATTGACATCGACTTCTGAGTTCAAACAATATTTGAAGAAAGGAAATATATCTGAATACATTTTTATACATACACGAAAAATATTGTTTAACTTACAATTAAGTCATTTTATGTTTATGTTTTGACTGAGAGATATTGGACCGAGAATACAAAATATTTTGATAGTATAAAATATTTTACTCAAATGTAGTTTTAATTGGACTCTAATAATCATTCATCATTAGTCAATATTTGAAGCTAGTGTGATTCTCTTTGAAATTATTACTTTCTTATTTCATATTTTATCTTTATTCGAATAAATACTTATTTTTCAATTATAGTATATTCGAATCTTTGTTCAATGCTTGTAATCATATCAACTAGTAGATTTATTTTTTCTTAGAATTCATTGAGAACAAAAAAAAGTGTTCAATATGTCCTTTGCAATTGATAACTTGTTCATTTGTAGAAGAGTTTCAAGTAATTGTAATAAAAGATGAACTACGTAGTGTTTAACATAACCTTTTTAAAAGCCTACATGATTTTCTTTTTAGTTAATCACCCGATACAAATCATTTGATGACAATTGCAGTACACTTCCACAGAATAGAAGTCCAGTCTCAAGTTTATAATCTTCCGAATGTAATAAAAGCTCACCCTATCCAAGCGAGCACAAAATAGTAATGTAAATCATCCAATAGATTAGTTCATCGCGTTTCGCAGTCTGTAACTTTTTTGGTGTACCTAATTTCACTGGTTCTACATGTGTGGGTAGACATATGGACATGTCTTTAACTGAAAAAAGAGACATCTCACAAAGCTGAAAGATGGTCGATTGAAATTACATGATAGATTTTCGACCTCAAAAACAAGTGCGATTATAAGATAAGTATAGTGTCTGTTATTGAAGCATTCATAAAATCTGAACAATCTATTTCATAAAAATGAGAAGCCCTCATTTGGTAGTATAAGATTTACTTTAAACTTCTTTCAAGATAATTGAAATATATTTTCGTGCGTTTCTGAACTATATATAAACTTCTAAGATGATATTACGTAGCAGAACCATATCGATACATGTCTGATAGAAATTTTTTCGCAACTCCTCCAAAGTTTGATTGATTTCTACAAGCAAACTATCATAATAAGTGCGGTTTATTGTATTTATATATTAAGATCCACGAAGTGCGGATGACAGTTGTGAATGTATGAATGAGAAAAATAGTGTAATGAACGTACCATTCAGGTTACCTGATAACAAGGAACTGGAAAAGTATAGAAGTAAATTTTCAACTCGTGCTTGTAAGCAAATACAGTCATAACTACAATACAAAAAAAGTAGACCGAAATAGAAGCCCAGTAGGCTACTATTCTTGGGGGGTCTGATAGAAGTCTACGCATTTTATTTTTTACTTGATGAATATTATTGAATCGAATGATCAAAAGAAATGTCTCTCGATGATTATGTTGGTACCATGTAGATCATATGGATTAAAAGTATATTCAAGTTAATATCGCTTGCGAATAGTAAATCTTTTTCTTGATATAAATATTTAGAAAAAAGTTTGTTCCGGATTTCGTCTTCGTATTTTTCCTTTTAGGATATAATAATCATATCGAATAAGTCGATAAAGCATTTCAACTAACTCCATTATTGATAAAAAACTAATACCAATCCATAAACCAGTATGACCACCAACATTTGAAAGAAGATCAACACCACTAACTGATGCATCTTGTGTATAAGTTTCTACACGAGTTGTTTCACAAACAATATCGACAGCAACATAATTCTTTGGAATTTCTGATTGCCATGTATTTGACCAATTTTTAGGTAATATAATGTCAGATTTTTCAACGAATTTTTTAATAACAGGTACATGCGTAGTGGATGGAGCTGATACTGCAGATGTTGTAATAGTAAAATCCACAGTTGAGCATGCTTGTGAACAATCTGAACAAAATTGATTCCAAATCGAAATCGTATTTGTAATACGAGTTCTTGCATTTGTATAGCATTGATCGGTTGTGTTGCAAAGAGGTGCTTTCATAATTTGATCGGTACCGGGTATCATAATAGATCGAGCAGTCCACTGACGTGGATCTGTACATCCACATTGATCATATCTATTTTGAAAAATATTCATTTCTATATTGATTAGTTTACTACATCGTAAAAGCGTAAAATAATAAACATTTAAAGCGTTTATGAAAGTGCCTATATACATAAAAAAAGGTTGAAGAAAACGTTTAAAAGCAAATTGATATATTCAAGGAGGCTTTTTAAGGCATGTGAAAAGACTCGGAGAAGCGTTTATTATAAGTCATTTATCTGATTACGTGTAGTTCAACTATATGAATATTAATGATTACTCTTTTAGAGTGGATAAACAATATAGGAACACTGTTTTTTCGCAATGAAAATAGAAAATAACAGTTTGTCAGCACAACCTCTTTGAGGCTAAAACGTGGAATTCACATTTGTTATTTAGCCTTATTGTTTTAATACAAAATACGTAAAGTGAAAAATCTCTAACAGACTAGTTGTTTGACAAGGATAACCCATAGCCAGAGAAAGGATGGGCTTTTTTGATTTCTACATTTCGAACAGAATTTTTTATTCTTTTCTTTTTCTGGTGCTCTATTTTTTATTTGCTTTACATACATCTATCATATCCACAACAGGTCTCAACGTGTCATTATAAATCTCGATAATAGTGGCATTACCAGAGTACGGATAGATTAGATAGTACCTAATCACTCACTAGCCTATAAAAAAGAAACTTTATTTGAAGAAAGTACAAGCAAAGTCAACGTCACTTATTCGCTTTCCTAGTCTCGACTTGATCGATCAGTCAACTGAACATCTTATAATTTAATTCTACAAAAAGATGAGGTTTGTTGTACTAGCAGTAACACATAGACTATCGTTTTACTTGTATATTATTCCCTTAGTCATGCATGTTATAGCTGATTGAAGGATCCAAAATATCGGCATAAACTCGTAAAAGATTTATGAAAAATTATGTAGACGGTAAAATTTTATTAGTCTGTTCTCTTGTTTTACTACAGCGTATACTTACACGTATGCTTGTATGCATAGCATATAACATAAAATTTGAGAATAAGCATAATCAGCATCTGCATATTGATTAAACATTGTTTGCATAACGAGAGAAATTTTATTTGTACAATCAGAATATGGAGATGATAATAATTCATGTATTTTCTTTTTGTAACTTAACTTATGTCTTCATCCAGGTTCAAGTTGAATACCAGCTACTTCAATAAGTGGTAATTCTGTATTATCATGAATCATAGCTATCATGCCAACTGATACATCTAGAAAAGAAACAACAAAAAAAGAATTTTCGTAAAATCATATTTTACACTTTACCTCGTGCAATATATGGAATATATTGATGACTGTGTGCATACAGTTGTAATTCAAGTCTACCAATACCTCCAAAATCAGTAGTACTTCGTACACTACTTTGATTTAACTTCATTTTAGCATTGAATGTATAGCAACGACCAAAAGAAGATGAATAAAATGGAATAAAATCATTAGCTTGACAACGTTGACCATTGTATAAACAAGAGATTAACGTTGAATTCAAAGGAAAAAAATAACTAGTTACAGGCTCAGAATCATTTAGTAAATTTTGAACAAATTCAGTAATATAAGGAACTAGTTCGATAGAAATGGTGCTTGTATCATTTGTATAAGTCAAATTTAGAAATTTGGTAAAATTTAGAAATGGTTCAATAAAATTATCAAAACGAATTGGTGAAAAATTGCATATACTGACTGCTGGAAATGCTTGTGAACGTTCGACAATAAATGATACTGATGTTTGTGTTGGATAATTGAAATAAGCTTTCATTGATTCAACAATAAAAAAGAGCATAATACCAGTAAAAATGAGTGTTGAAACTATCCAAAAAATTCGATTATCTATATTTTGACTACGTGCAATACCTGGAATACCATGAGTTGAAGTATTAAGACTAAACTCACGAATAATAGAACGACGTCGTCGAAATTTCGGATCTGGCTCCAACGCTTTAGCATCTATTGGAAAAACGGTTGCCAATTGTTTAATTGTTGTCTCTGTCATTATTACACTAAGTCGAATAATTGTAATGTTATTGAATGACCGAAAAGCACTTTTAAGAGTAACTTTCAAGTTACCTAATTTACATTTTTTTTACATGTTCTTTTTCAAGCGATTGAGATGTAATTGCACTCATAGTATATTATTTTTTATGTTAAAAATATTAGTGCAAAGAATCTTAGCAAAATAGAATAAGAAAAATAACTCATAACTGCGTTAAAATATACTACTTCATTATTAATGCTCCATTGAGTCTTTCAACGATGAATAAATTGTAGGTGTTTGAATTGCAATAATTTTTATGGCTATCGAAAATCATAAAATATTAACAGTAGAGCTCGATTACTTCAAAGAAAAGAAACTAGAACTGATTTTTTTCTCATTTTTAGTAATCGAAACCGGACTCGGAGTATTTTTTGGGAACGCCAAACTCTAATTAACGGATACAATTGTTTGACATCATGTAAATGAATAACTTTCTTCTGTTTATCAATATAAATGACTTTTCTTTTCATTTCTTTTTAAGAAATGAATCTAATTAATTAGATATACTATCAATAAACATCATCAAAAAAAAAAGAGCTTTCAAGACAATAATTAGATAATAAAAGAAATAATCCATAAACTGAAACAGATAATATAAGTACTGACGAGTAGTACGAACTGATTCGTTATTGTTTTTAGTGTTTGTTCGTGTATAGGAATGCAGCGACGACGATCATTCACCGGCCCACACCGATAACCGTACGTACAGTTATATTTTTTTCACAAAGGAAAGCATTTTTTCTTATAAAAGCTATCGAAAGTAAATGAAGGTCGTGAAATAATCAGTTTCTCAAAATTATATACTAAATATTTTCACATCGGGAAAAGCTGTTGTAGGATAGTAGACCATGAAAGCAAGTATACAATTTCGAGGAACCGATTATAGATACAGATTCCCCAACTTCGATTTATTTTCGTCCACCTTTATAAAAAAAAATCCTTTCCTTTATGAAAAACGGTAATCGTATCTACGGTTATCGTCACTATTGCATCTCTATTCGTGTATGTGTACTTGTGAAATGATAAAACAAATATCAATGTGTTCAACAGAAGAATCTAGAGAATGTTAATATGATTAAATAAATACTGATTATCACTTGAATTAAACCTTGATATAAGATAGTGGGGAAAAGTTTAAAATAACAACGTATATCTTATCATGTTATATATGCAGATTTTTTATTTTATCAACTATAATCAATAATGATTCTAGTATTTCATTTGAATTATTAGTAAATATATTTTATATGATTGATTTTTAGTTTTATTTTTCTAAATTTTGAAATGAGTTATTCACTGCTATTCTTTTTTAAGTATCTTCAGAAAACATAAGTATAATTATAAATATGCATGAGGTAAAAGTATCCCTTCTTCAATGTTCTCAATTATCACACATTTCATCATCCTATATCAAATTAACTAATAATGTGCGTCAGAACTCTACTTCTTATTTTTAGAATCATTATTTAAAGTCAACTTGATGAAAGACAAGCTGTTTGAATGTCATCATGAATAAATATTTTAATGATACATTAAAATGCAACAATATATTACATATACGAATCCATCAGATCATATATGAATGTGATGAATATATTCTTTAAAATTTCTTGATGGAACTCATTTTTTATATAAATAAATATTATAATGAATAATAAACATTTTCTACATTAAATTTAATACCATTATTATATGTTACCAATACCAAATAGGAATAATCTGATGATATATAACGAATACATGCAATAATAGAAAATTATTTATATAAAAAGATCTTAATGATTCTATTGTCTACTAATACCCAATGTTTTCAATTTAAAAACTATTTGAAGTTAATTAAACATTTTTCTTGCAAAAAGGTCAAACAAATACTCAACATATCCTATAAAAAACTTAATCTGCTGTTCAATTCACTCAATTAAATAAAAAAGAAATGTTGCCAATTGTTACAGAAAATTAACATATATCTTATTATCTTCAATGACATACTAACTAATACGATATTTAGAAATTTTTAATTTAAAAAAGTGATGATAAATATAAATTTAGCTATCAGATAAAACTCGTATAAGAAAATCAAACTTTTCTACAATGTTTATACTGAATATTCTTATGTAATAAATCTCTAATAGATATACAATTTCTATATAAGTATTTTAATAATAATCATTTTTATTAATATAATTTATACATCAAAAGTTTTTTGACTAATTAAAAACAAATTGAAATTGTAAAAATTTTTAATCTATAAATTTTATGTGACGAACTTTGACAAAAAAGAAAATGATAAATTATTTTATGAATCTTTTTCTTTTTTTTTTTTTGAAATATTATTGTTTTGTCACAATACAACAAAAAAGACATATCGGAAATTATCCGAATAATGTTATTTATATTTTATAGTTAAATTCTTCATATATGAGTGTTAAATTATTACAGAAATATTAATAAAACTAAATAGCAATTATTCGAATAAAGAGTATATTTTTAGTCTTGTATTTGTTTGTTTATTAACTATGAATACCGTTGTAAGGTAAACAGTACTTTTGATAGATACCCGTTCCAGATATCCGAGCAAAATAACAAATACGCGGCATAATCACATTACGTTGTTGAATATTCAATGAAAATTCTTTTAATAGATTTGACTGTGATGGAATTGATGATCCAAAATATTTATGAAGAAAAGATAAATCTTTATTATTATTATTATTATTATTGCTCGTGGAAGGTACACTGGTCAATCCATTAGTAATCGATGTTAATGAGGAACAGACACATAAGAATAATAATATATGAATGAAAAAACCAGAAGTCATCGATAGAAGAAATATAAAATATAAAAAATTAAAAAACACATATAAGAGGTGAAAAAACCAGTTGTAAAAAATTCATTAATATTTGCTAAAATTACAGATGTTATGGAAATATATTTACCAAAGTTCATAAAAATCATGTTACTTTCAACTATGTTCTATACTCAATTTCTCACGTATGAATTAAATCTCAACATGTGTAGGAAAAGAAAATAGACGAGATCATTAAGGATAATATGTGTATTTTTAATTAGACAGATGATGAATAAAAGGTAGAACAAACATTAATAAGTCTAAATATGATTTTCAAAACATGAATTTTACTTTCTTGATTACTTACTGCGCATTATTAAATATGTTAGAAAAATACCTACATGAAAATAAAATATCTCTTTGTTACATTTACACTACGTTTGTATCACAATGAGTATCATACATTGAACAGTACCAGTAGTGTCACATATTCAAGAAGTCAAGAATATCGAGTGAAATGATGAATATAAACATATATCTTTTAATAGGTACTTTTGTATATATCTGGTTTTTTTTGAAAATGAGAAAAAGAAGGTCGATATTATAGGATAGAAAATATTCTTGAAATATAAACTTGTAAATTTCTTCTTATAGAGTCAATAGTCCTAATTCTGTAATAAACTATCGATAATCTGAATGCTAGATTTTGTAAAGAACTAAATTTTAGTTTTCAAAATTTCGATTTTTATAAAATTTAGCTCTACACAAAGTCAAGCACTCGAGTTATCAATGGTCTATCACAGAATTATGGCTATTGACTCCATCCGAACGTTATGTCGAACAGATAATTCATATGTATTATATATAAATCATAAGAAATACTAAAAGAATCTAATAAAAAATTCATCTATAAAGCATTTGAAGAAGAATGAGTGACTATACCTTTCTCTAAAAATTATTAATAAATATGACATGTGTTATCTTATGCAACATTCGCCAACACAACTTACTTATCTGATGTGACTAAGACTATCTAATTTTAAATGTCATAGTTTCTTTACATACTCACTCTCATAAATGAAAATACCCTAATTTGAATGTGTGATTATTGAAAAATTATATCTGATGTTAAGCAGATATTCGTCAACAATAGATTAATTGTCATTACAAGGTAATTATTTAAAATAAATACATAAAGAATATGAGAAATTAACATAATTAAAGATGGGAAAAAGAATGTTCTTTGTACTACATAAATTTTCTCATAGAATCCTTTGCTTAGAATAAAATTGCTCATCAACACAAAAAAAAAGAACGACTATTAATATTAATCTTATCAAGTTGTCATTGTTGAGATACTCACTTTGTCGATATTTAAACTGACTTGTCTTTTAGTATTATCTTTTTTATATTTGATCATTGAAATCACGAATGATAATGAAAACTTATTTATTTTTTGTTAATAATCATTATCGATTAACCTCATATGTTTTTCTTTACTCATAAACTAAAATATATCAAAACAATCACAATAATCTTAAACAATTTTTGAGCGTGTACATTTTATTATAATCTATGCTTACATTAGACAATAAACTTTTACCAATGCTTTATTGAATATTAAACGAGATATATACACAATATACTTGAGTTCTGATTAAATTTAATCGTAAAACTTCACTTTTATTCATTGAAGATGTCCACATCATTTTAACCTAATATTATAATGAAAACACTTAGTTGAAGAAAAGTTCATTCAGTACAAATTTGCGTACTACATTTTGTTGAGTTAAATTTTAGTTGAAAAGAATATATACGAAGCGATTCAATTACAAATACATTTGGTAATATAATGCAAAATAGGGCTCCGCGTGAGATAAGATGGGACAAAAAAAAAATCGTCTCATGTCCGATGGAATTGTCCCATCTCATGCGAAGCTCTGGTATAACACATTGATGAAGAGAACAACACCAAGAACTTTGTATTTAATATCTACTGTAAAAATATTCATCTAATTCAAATGACTTGTTGGAGAGTTGAAATAAGCATTTTTCAGAATGTCACACGAGGAAATAAATATAACGATTTGTTCTTTTTTTTTGGTTAATAGAAAGTCTTCTTATTTTATGAATTTTATATGATTCCCATAAAAGATTAATCAATCAGAT